CCGAAAACCATCAGCGTAATTCGCGGGGCGCCACCACCGCCTCAATGCAGAGAGTCCAAACCAGGTTCGCGTGATCTCAAAGGCTAATTTCCCGCCGTATTTGTGGATTAGATCCAAGGGTAGGCAATTTTTCTGAGCTTTATGTAACAATTTCTGGATTAATTTCGAATCTTAAATTAATTTTGTAATCGTTTCCTCTTCTTTTTTTTCCCCTGTTGTCCGATTCCTCTATTTGCCGTCGGGTTGTCTAGATCTGATTGTAGCTCTGTAATCCAGGTGATTGACCTGCTTTTGATCTTGACATTCAAGTACCGATTCCTGTTGATGCCCAAATTTGATAATAGAGTGATCTTTTTTGTATTTAACTCCCGTGCCTCTTTGTTATTAATTGAAATGGGATTTTCACACTGGTCGATATTACTCATAAAAAAATAAATAAATAAAAAGTAATCTAATTTATGCTTTAACAGTAAAATGTTTTAGTTTTTTTTTTTTTCAAATTAAGATTTGTTAAAATGATATTGTTTTAAAATGAATTTTTTTAAAATTTTAAAGGGGAAATGGATGGTAATTATTTAATTTTTTAAAAAACTTATTAGATATTTATTTTATATATAGTTAAAATAAGCCTAAAATAACGAACCCAGTAAACATCAGTAGAAAAAAAAAAGGGGAAAAACCGTGGCATGAGGGGTAGTGGGATCACAAAATATGTTTAATTATTGTTTGCTGAATTAGCTGATAATGGAAAAGAAAAAGAAAGAGAGTAAAAGAAAAAGAGCAAAAGCGAAAGAAAAAGGAATAATGGAAAGGAGAAGCAAAAGTCTAATTCGACCCAACTCCCTGATGTATGTAGTTTTTAAAAGTTTATAAATAGGGAGTGCTCCTTGTTTTAATAGGTACCCCATCCTCACTTGAAGCTAGCAAGCTAGTTTTCAATAACTTAAAATTCCCATCTCACTTGCTATTGTCTCACATATCTGCATTCTGATATGTATAGAGAGAGAGGATGGAGCCCAAATACTTTCTTCATGGACATCCATTGCACTTCTTTGAAGAGTGAAGCAATGTCGACAGTGAGACTAGACATGGAGATTGCTCATCAGGATGTGGGCAGCCAATCTCAGCTAAGTTCTATGCATGCATCGACTGTGAGTTTTTCCTTCATAAATCATGTTCTGAGCTACCACTGGAGATCACTCACCCCTTTCATGGTAATCATCCTCTCACTCTTTTAGCCAAAATACCAAACAGGAAATAGATCGCATGTTGTGATTTTTGTGGTAATAAAGTCAATGGATTTGTTTACCACTGTTCTCCTTGTGAATTTGACCTTGACATCAAACGTGCCTTGCTCCCACAATTCCTCAATGGAGATTTTCCAAAAGTTGATCATCACATTCATGTTGAACACCCACTCTTCTTCATCGAAAATCTTAGCCACGAAGTTAAACTAGCTTCTTACCACAATTGCTGTGTTTGCCTAGAACAATTATCAGATGCTTCCTTTTACACTTGTGTTGTTTGTAAGCTTTTCCTTCATAAATCATGTTCTGAGACTGAGCTACCATTGTACATCAATCACCCCTTCCATGAGAAGCACACTCTTACTCTTACTCTTACTCTTCCTAAATGGGATAGGGAATCATTTTGTCAATTTTGTCATGATCAACCATTCTCCTACTCTAGAGGATTTTTTTACCACTGTTCTTCTTGTCGTTTCAACCTTCACATCAAATGTGCCTTTGTCCCACAAGTCGTCATTGAAAATTTCCCAAAACGTGATCAACATTTTAGTGATGTTGATGAACACCCACTCTTCTTCATCAGAAAGGACCTTATTAGCAACAGCAAAGAAGTTAAACGGTGTTCTAATTGCTTTGTTTGCAAAGAATCATTATCAGGTAGTTCTTTTTACTACTGTCCCGACTGTGAATTTTTCGTTAATAAATCATGTGCTTTTAAAGAGCTACCTTTGAAAATTAATCACTCTCTCCATGATAAACATGCTATTAGACTAACCGAAAAAGATTCTTACAGCAAGCATGTAACTTTTGTCTTAATGATATCGAGGGATCTAGGTATAGCTGTTCTTCTTGTGAGTTCCATCTTGGTCCCCGATGTGCTTTGCTCATCACCAAAGATCTCCCAAAACGTGATCATCATTTTAGCCATGTTGAACACCCACTCGTCTTTGTCCAAATGCTTAGCAACGAAATTAAAATAAATTCTTCCTGCTCTGTTTGCTCAAAACCATTATTGGGCACTTCTTTTTATAATTGTCTTGATTGTGGATTTTTCCTTCACAAAGAATGTGAGGCAGAGTTGTGGCCTAAGATTGAGCATGTTGCCCACCCCGAACACCCTCTTATTCTTGCATTTTGAACAGATTATTATGTCTGCAACTTTTGCCCTAGTAGAAGTAGTATGAAGGAAATTGGATATGAATGCCAAACTTGTGCCTTTTATATTCATCATCAGTGTACCTTACCCAGGTTCTTCCCAAAAAGTAAGATCCATGACCACCAGTAGATGAGCCCATTCATGAGGAAAAATCCCCCCATTTGCGATGCATGTGGGGGGCCAGGAGATGATGCTCGCTATATTTGTTCAAAGTGCAGCATCATGATCCATGAGGATTGTATTTTCCTGCCAAAACTCATCAAATTCAAACTGCACAATCATCATATACTTGGCCACAACTACAGGTTTCCACAAAAAGTGGGTGAAAAATGGACCTGTCAATTTTGTTTCAAAATGGTGGTGGCAGAGCATGGGAGTTACAAATGTTTGCATTCGAACTGTAATTATATTCTTCATGGGAGTTGCGTAAAAAGGAATAAAGGTCGTCTTTATATCGAAGTTGAGTCAGAAAATGCGGAAAGTGATGATGACGCTTCTTCAAGTTGTGCTGTGGCGCTAGGAGACAAGATAGATCATTTCAGCCACGAGCATGAATTAAGGCTTGATAATGAGGAGATTATTACAAATGGTGATAAAAAATGTTGCAATGGGTGTGCATTACCGATCTTGACTGCCTCTTACAGTTGTCCACAAGCAGAGTGTAATTTCTCCCTTCACAAGGCCTGTGCCCAAATTGGAAAGCACAAACCACATTGGGCTTCCCGAGATCCTCTTCGAGTCAGCATGAAGCGCGCTTTTATGTGTAAATTTTGTGAGTATGACTGCAACGGTTTTTGTTCCGAGTGGGAAATTGATTTTTTTGGGAGGGAAATTTGCCTCAGGTGTAGCGAGATCCCTTTCATCACTACCCATGAAGCACATGCTCAGCATTCCCTTTTCTGTGATGGAGAATACAAGGGACTATGTAGTGGCTGCGGTGAGAAAATGGGTAAATATGGTGGTTAAAAATGCACGCTAGCAGAGGAAGAGGAGAAATGCAAATTTGCCTTGGACTACAGACGCCTGACACGGCCCCTTACAGCTGAACATAGGTTCCACCATCACCCTTTAAAACTCACTTACGAAGATCCTTACAAGGATGATGATGGTGATCCATTTCAACACACGTGTGAAATCTGTGAAGATAGAAGAGATCCAAAGCTGTGGTTTTATCGGTGTGATGAGTGCGATTTTGATGCTTATCCCGATTGCGTTCTTGGAGAATACCCATTCATCAAGCGCGGTAGCATCCTTCCTGATTGTGATAATTAATAATAGATGTGATTCTCATGAACGACGTCTCATATATTTCCAGAGAGAGAAATATCCCTATCCGAAATGTCATTGGTGTGGCCATCCTTGCAAAGATCAGCTGGCTCTTAAATGTCCTCACTCTAAATGCACCCTTGCTCGGCATGTTGAGTGTCAACGAGATATGTATTTCAAAAAACTCACTCAGTTAACGCTCTAGGAGCAATCGATGGGTTAACTATTCTTCTGCTATAAAATCCAAATCGAAGAATCCCAATGGCGTTGGCAATCTCATCCGTTTCGGAGGAGCGGGTTCTGAAGCAAACATCCATCTCCATTTGGATCACTAATGTCCAAGCCGAGGGTATTCTCATTCGGAGGAATGAAGGTGGCACCTTTCTCATCCACACCAACTGTTCCACATGTGGCCCGTGTGAGTTGTAATGGTTTTATTACTAGGAATATATACTGGGAATTAGTAGATGGTTTAAGATTATGTTTCAATCTCATGATAAGGATTTAATTTTTTCCATAATTTAGGGTTTTCATCTAACAAGAATTTAATTTAGTTTGTAAATTTGATTCCCTTTTAAATGAATTCTTTCTGTGTGTGCACTGAGTTAGGTATGAGGAGTTAGTATTCTGTGCTACTTCTAGTATAAATTTTATTTATCAGCTTTCATATGAAAATCCGTGGTCAAATTTACCATGCAAAAAATCAAGGAGAACTAAAGACAATTTCAACACAATGGAAAAAGCACTCGGTGGCAGGTAATTAGATTTGGGATTTAATAGATTCAATTCCTGATATGATTTCTCTTCATAATCTTATTTGATGATGTTTTCATATATTTTCATGGAAAGAACAATCAAAACCCAAGGCCTATATGAAGAACTTCCTCTTTTTTTGAACTATTAAAGTTTAAATTACTTGTTTTTAATGTGCAATTTCTTGCAAGGAAATCTGTTTTGGTGTATTGTTGTAATGTATGTGCACTTGATTTGTTAGTTCTCTTTATCGAAATGAATAAAAAAGGAAAAAATATGTTTTGACTTTAATTTAAAACCTGTGAGATTGAACATTTGTTCAAGCAACATAACCACCTCTGTTCATGACCTTGGTAGCAAATCTAAGTTGAGTTAAATATTGCTACTAAGTTTTGTTTTTATTTTTTTGTACATAGAGACTAAAACTTAATTTAATTTTTAATTTTTTTTTTTTATCATTCTTAGTGATATGAGCTTGAATTGCCTTAGTTAAAGTATTGAGAATTTGGATTATTAAATTCTGAAGAGAATATATGATTACAAACCAATTTTACCAACCATCTTTCTTGATTTTAGACAATTTAAAAAGGCAACTTAGTTGTTGAAACATATCATGTCGAAGAAGCTCAGACAACATGTCATGTTGAAGAAGCTTAGAGATGCCGTGGTAAAAAAAACCTTAGGTGTAGAAGCCTTTAGCCAATAAATAAGAGGCAGAAGCCTATTATCAGGAAGATGGAATAGGTGCTTAAACTTGAGGGAAAATGATGTTTATACAATAGCCGGTAAAGGTAAGGTAATTCTATTATTTCCAATCTCCTTGCTTTTTTATAGATTATCTTAAAAATGTCTTAAGGCTTTTACAAGTATTCATAAAAGTAAATCTTTTATTTTTAAACTGGGGCAGTGGAATAGTTTCTTAGGCAAATCTTTTTATTTATTTAGTTTTTTTTTTTTTGTTGAGGGTTATCATGGTGACACATTAGTAACTTTCTTTTGCAGAGATGTTGATGAGGAATTTGTTAAAGCTTGCCATTTATAATTATATCTTTATTAAGTATACCTAAGGCCTCTTGTTCATGCAATAGTCTTAGATTTTAAATAAACAATATGCTAAAAAAAGGATGAAACACTGCACTATTAAACCTCTGAATCTTGCTGCGGCTAGTATTTGTATTAACTTACCAATCAGTTAATAAGAAAATATTAATTAGAATAACCAAGAATATTTGTCTAAATATATTTATTAGTGTCTTTGGAGTTTTAATATGCTGCTTTTTACTATATACATATACACACGCACAACACCTATTAAGGGTGCTTCCAATAATGACCCAGACCCATCAATCCTTGCAGCCCTTAATATTTTCATTTTGTTTTTGTATTCTTTCACCAAAAAACATTCCTCACCATATTATCACTAATGCTCGAAAGCTTTTCATGGTATGCAGCTGGTAACTGCAGGGAGCTCCTCAATGTGGATGTTATTCCAACTAAAAAGAAGTTTAGAAGAGGAACAATTTTGGTTTCTTTTTCATTACAAATTATAGATAGACTGGCCATTTTATACAAAGCTTGGTAATCAAGGTTGGGATCCACAAGTCATGGCTCCTCTGTGCCTTTCAGAGACATAGGCAGCAATGGAGGGCTTATATGGATAATGCATCTGACCAAGTACGTGCTATTGTGGTCAGCAACTTCTCAACCAAGAAGCCATAGGACTTGCTCAAGATTACCAAAGAACCACTTGCTGACTATTTGGCAGCAAATTGTGCTACACATTCTCTGCAAGTCTATTGGAGTTTGTCTCTTGATAATGATTCAAAGGATTCTCAATTGACTTTGATCCTATTACCACATGTGTGCTTAGTCTTGGTTGTTTGAAAGATTCGAATGCTGGTGTGTGTGTTGCAGACATGTGCCCCTCTAAGATCTCTTGGCTCTTTGGTTAACAATTTCAATGTCAGTATCTATGCTAGTTACATATTTAACTTACTAGGATCCATGGTTCCTGTGTAATTCTCACGCTATTTTGTATGTAGGCATAGAAGGGAATGTGAGTCTCAATCTCAGTCTCATTTTTATTTGAAAATGTCTTTAGTTTAATCTTGAATCAAGCTTCTTGCACATTCTAGTGTTTTCTACTTGATAGAAGGTATTTTTTTTGCTAAAACTTTATATTTTCTATTTTATGCTTCCTTTTTTATTTCAGGTGTAGAGATAGTGAAATGGTGAACAATAAAGGCCTTGTTCCAGCAAGAAACATCTCTTCTGTAGTAGAAATAATAAAAGCTTATTGAAGGATCATCTAACTTCCATTCCTTAACTGCTAGTCCAAGGTACACTTTCGCTTCCAATCATCAAACAGCATACTGCCTTTGGAAAAAAAAGGACATGATCTCACTCACATCCTTAAATATATGTCTAAGAAAAGAAAATAAAAGGTAGCACTTAGGATAGAATAGATATTAGGACAGACAAAATTCTTGAACTTTACATACCGTAGTGGAAATTATACAATTTAATAGATAAAATTGCAATAGAGGGAGATGGGAAAGGTGGAGAAATAGAATGAGACAATTGAGGAATTAACAAGATGTTTGAAATTTTATTTGAAAACTGTTGAATATAGTGTGTTTGGTACATGTAGAAAAGTAGAAGCTAGAAGATAATAAAAAAGGCACTGAAAATCAGTTGAAGTATTTGAGATTTTAAGTGGGGCAAAATCATATATGTATTTTTTCTGATGAAATGAGAGGGAAAGGTAGTATATAAATGAGGAATAGTCAAAGATTTCTACCTACATAAAAGCTTTATGGAGATATTTAGGATTTACAAACCCTTAGAAAATATTCTCATGAATCAGAATCAAGAAATATATTATTAATTTGTATTCATCTAGCGAACATCTAAGGCTTTTTTTTTTATTAAGGCCCATATATCATATTTAGAAATAAGAATTCTTCCATTCATTATATTTTTCTTCTTCTTCATTTTTCTTTTATTATCTTTTTTTTGCAATTTTTCCAGTCTACATGTTCCTTTTTCATGATATTGTGGTTGCAATTTTGTGTTCGTTAAGGACTTCAAGACCGATGACAATAACTCTGTCAGAATGGAGGTGAAAAGTCTCAATGCAATAAGGATCGCTCTCAAGAATCTCAAAGACTAGCTCAATTTTTTTTCATGTGAGCTTTGTTTTTATTAATCTTTTCCTCTACTTCTAGAGTTCACTTGCTATTTTACTTTGTTTTCATTGGTCCTATTTGAATGATGATTTTCCATGGAAAATGCATCTTAATGCTTAAGTCAGTTTGGTTAATTTTGGAAAGTAATAATAATTATGTATTAGGCATGGGTTATTGTAAATTTTTTTTCTTCCATTATGGAAATAGTGCAGCAAGATTTTAGTGGTTGTTTCTTTTGTTTTCCTTCATTTAGGGTGACATTCTCTGAGTTAGGAGGATAATCGAATTCAACTTATTATTAAGGAGATGGAGGGAGATGAAGGTTATGAAGCTTTGAGTTTTCTTATGGATATGATGATATATAGAGATTCCAGAGGTTGGCAGAATCAAACTTTAACAAGATTGTATTGAATTGGTAGCAATGGTTCAAACTTTGGAATCAAAGAAATGAGCCTAGGAGTTCAACTGCAACAGTAAGCCATTTAGGGTGTTGCATGCATGTATAGTTAGTGGGTTGCATTGTAGATCAATATTAGGATCTGGCCAAATTTATCAATTCACTCTTTAGCTAATTTAATTATTGCACTTAGTTCTAAACTAATATTACCAGTCAATTCCAACTTAATGACCACACCCATATAAGTATTGAATCTTATCTCATGATTAACTCAATATATCCAGTCCTCTGGATTAGATTGCTGATCCTTTTTCCTTCCTTTGTTCTTATCAATGGAATCCCATGGAAGGTCAGGAATGTTATCTATGGTGTGTTGTAGTTCTTACTTTGATGCTTGGTGCTTATCATGTATATATCATGATCCAGGAAAAATGAAGTTTGAAATAAATGATCAAGAGATATCTCAAGAATTGGAAGTACCATTTTTAGCAATTTAAGAGATTATGTGGTGGTTGGTACATTAGTGTATTTTTCGTGATATGAGTTCTTAATCCTACTTAATGTCTATCATTTATTACATCAATTTTACATCTAATTTCATGTCTTACTTATTTTCTAAGAATTTTTTGGCATAATTTTCATTATTATTACTTAAGTGGACAACTCTTTATCCATAATGAAGGAATAAATAACTAAATTTTACTTTATCGTTGTGCAAAGAAAACCTACCTTGTTTTATTTTTTTATACGGTTATGCAGTTTTTTTTATTCTTTACTGATGTTACAAATGTAAAATCAATGTGGTCCCGCCTCTTAAAAGTCTAATAGACCTCTGAATTTTGAGGTTTTATTTTGCCTCAATAACGTCTATAGGTTGGTCTTTACATTTTTTGCTTTCTAGAGAAAAGATATTCAGCTTTTTATTGTCTACAGTCATAGGAGCTATTATATTTTTGAGAGAAACACCCCTATTGTCTCAGGTCAAGTTTTTAATTATAAATTTGTAACCATTTGATAACCTTGGTCACATTTATAATATTTCATAGTTTTTAACTTTATGGCTTATATGCATGGAACTAACAGGTTGATGTTAGGAAATAGAAGGTGCTGCTAAGGAGGTTAAAAAAAGTATATATGGTTATAGAAGCCTTATAAGTAAGAAGTTTATAATGAGAAAGGTTCTAGATGCTGGCAATTCAGAACTGGTATGAAATTGATTTCCTTTTGATTCATCTAATTTAGTCTTTTCAATTTTTGGAGCCACAATTACTGAATTTGAACCTCAGCTAGCTACAAGAGGAAATTGAAATAAGCAGAAACATAAATACTGCTTCTGTGTTTGGCACTTCTTAGCATGACTTCCCATTGTTCATCAAATGTTAATGAATAATTTTTTATCATTGTATTCGAATTTTACAGCAAGTTGGCTCTTGGGATTTTTTTTTTCATTCATTATATATTAATATGTTTTTGCCTCTTTTTCTTTTTTCTTTTCTTTCAATTTTAGTAGGATCCTTAAACAAGTTTAAAGTTTTGCTAGAATTTCTGCAAATGTTGTTTAGCCAAATGATATGTTGGGACAAGGAGAGACCAAAGCTTCACATTTTGAAGATTTACAAAACTACCAATCAAAAGGTTCTTTTTTAATATGCTTCATATTTCTTTGAAGAAATAGCCAAGGGAGTTCTTTGGGAGAAAGAAGATCACATAAATTCACTTTCTGAGCTGATCATGTTAGCATTTCTTCTCAAATTTGATAAAGACGCTGTTGGTTTTTTAAGTTAAAGAATTTGCAAGTTTTTGTGGAGGACAACTTTCTGTCAGCAGCCTAGGCATGGTGAGCATAGCTGGTATTCCTTGTGAGTGAGTAGGCATAGTGAGCACAGCCAATATTTCAACTTCTTAACATTTGGCCATTTTAATCTTTCTGCGCCTTTTTTTAATATTTATAATTAATTTTTTCCTTCAGGTATATGAAGTATGGATGGGTGAAGGATATGGTAGTTTGTAATAGCAGGCTTATTTGGAAAAATTAGTCTCTTACGAAGGAGATTTCATCTTCACGAAGATGATTACTATAGGAAGCTTTTCGGTTGCCAGACCAGCAGGGCACAATTGCTTTCATTGATGCCTGCTGGGGTGGTATATTACCATGACTATGTTTTATGGTCAAATTTGCTAGATTTTAATTCATACATAAAGAGGAATTGTCCTTGTCTATTGTCTCTGATACTATAACACTACTCATGTTAATTTTCTTTCTTTGCAACCTTTACAAGGATCATTCAGGTACAATTCCTACGCTATACTATAGTTTGCTCTGATTTTTTCTTGTAAAAAAAAGGTTAAACCCCCATTTTGGTCTCTCAACTATTATACGGACCCACGATTTAGTCCCTCAACTCAAAAAATCCCTGATTTGGTCCCTATTGTTTACCATTTTGACCCCGATTTGGTTCTTCTATTAAATTTTTGCTAAGGTGGCTTATTAACTAACGAAATGAAAGTGACATGTCCAAATACTTAATACATCAACTGCCAACAAGGATAAATAAATGATGTGGCTAAAATCCCGACCACCAAATCAAACAAATATAATTATTTAATCCGTTAAATTTACAATTTTGCCCTCATCTTCTTCCTCAGCATCCTCCCTCTCAAATCTTCTAAGTTCACTCTAAATCAAGCATTCGATTCAATGAGATCAATTAATTCATCATCATCATCAAACAAAATTGCCTCGTCCGAGGCTTGCTAGGTTCGATCTTACCAAAAAAAAAAAAAAAGCTCCTGGGTTCAAAACAACCCAGCGGTTCTACTGGGTTCCCAAACCTAGCGAATCTGTTGGGTTCGATACCCAGCAGATGCGTTAGTCTTCATCTTCTTCCTCAGCATCCTCCCACTCAAATCTTCTCCATTCATTCTAAATCAAACATTCAATTCAATGAGATCAATTAATTCTTCATCATCATCATCATCAAACAAAATTACCAAAAAAAAAAAAAAGAAAAAAGAAAAAAAGCTGTTGGGTATCGAACCCAGCAGATGCGCTCTGTTCGATCAACTAGCAGATCTGCTGGGTTCGATCGAGCTAGCAGATCTACTAGGTTCTCAAACCCAGCAGATCTGTTGGGTTCAATGGAGCCAGCAGATCTACTGGGTTCGATAAAGCCCAGTGAATCTGCTGGGTTCTTGAACTCGGCAGCTCTGCGGGGTTCTCAAACCCAGCAATGGTAGAGGTTGAAGAGAAAAGTAAAAGGGTTTGCAGAAGGCAAAGGAAATGAAGAGGAAAGAGCCCCCGTTCGGAAGGAAGAGAGAAATAAGGATTTAGATCTTAGAGGTTGAAGATAAGGGTAATATAGTCATTTTATTATGGTTAAAGATTATATGGATAATTTTTTTGCCATGTCATATATTTGGACACAGTGTAAATTCCACATATTTTATATATTTAAAAGATGTGCCCCTGCTCGTTAGTTAACAAGCCACCTTAGCAAAAATTTAACGAAAGGACCAAATCGAGGTTAAAATGGTAAATAGTAGGGATCAAATCATGGATTTTTTGAGTTGAGGGACTAAATCGGGGGTCCGTACAATAGTTGAGGGACCAAAATGGGGGTTTAACCTAAAAAAACAGCTTTAATTCAACTTAATACAATCTGGTAGTATAGCTCTACTTGTCAATTTCTACTTTTGAAAAGAAGATCTACTTTGACAAGTGAGCTTTAAAAATGTATAGACACAATTTTGCACAACTTGGAACTCAACTTTTCCTTGTTTCATAATGCTCCATGTCCAGATATTTTGATTTACTATAATGGAGACATATGTTTTAAAAATTAGTTACATGTCAGGTAGTCTCTAGCATTCTCCATGACATCTAACATTAAAAAACTCATCTAGGAGAGTTGACATCTTTTAACATTCAAGATAGTTTGTGAGATGCAAGCTTCAGAAGAAGCTAAGGTTGAAAGAATGTCAATGATCGGATGGGCAACACCAGATGCTCAATGCGTGGAGGAGAAAAATAAAATACAGTGGAAATTGGCTTCAAGCAATTGAACAACTTCATCTT